CGAGGATGAGGAGAAGGAGAACGAGGCCGAGATCCAGCGGCTGGAGGAGCAGGTGGGCCCGGCGGGTGTGGCGGGAACAGGGATAATCCGTGTCTGCCCCGGCGGTTCGGTGCTGCCCCTGTCAGGGTGTGAATTTCCCTGCTCCTCGTGAGTTTCCTCAAACTCGGGGTTTTAATTGATTTTATGCCGTGAATGTTTGGTGTCTGAGATGGAAATTGACCAGTTTGGGATTGTTTTGGAAGGAGGGAAGTGCTCGTAAGCTGTTGGTGTTCATTGAGAAATCTGAGCTGGCTGCTCGCGGGTTTTTATTGCCTTTAAAAAAAAAATTTAAAATAATTTTGTGGCGGGACCGAGGGAGCAGCTGGGGCTGTGTCAGGGTTTTATTAAATCTGAGAAAACTCTGCGTTGTCTGCCTCTGTGATCACACCACGAGAACTGTGTGATTTGTTTTCTGACTTCACTCAACACGGCTTCTAAAATGGATTTATTTTTATTTTTTTAAGCTCTCCATCAATGCTTTTGATTACAACTGTCACTTGGATCTGATCAAGCTGCTCCGGCAGGAGGGAGAGCTGGTGAAGCTCCGCAGAGCTCGGCAGAAGATGAGCGAGCTCTTCCCCCTCACTGAAGGTACGGAGCCTCCTCTGCTCTCCACAGGTGCAGGATGTTTCAGCAGTGAAATAAAAATATTTAGGCCAATTTTCAGCATCCTCAGTCAGGGAATGTGATCCAGAGCTCAGCAAAGTCCTGCTAAAAATTTCATAGGCGGACAGCAAAGAAAATTCCCTCTTGGTGGCAATTGTGGGGGCTTGAAGTGGGGATTTCTGGTTTTGCTCATAGCTCGGAGGTGATGGAAATATTGCAGAGGCTGTGGGATTTTATTCTTGGAAAGGGATGGCACAGGGTGCCCAGAGAAGCTGTGGCTGCCCCTGGATCCCTGGAAATGTCCAAGGCCAGGCTGGACAGGGCTTGGAGCAGCCTGGGACAGTGGGAGGTGTCCCTGCCCATGGCAGGAGGTGGAATGGGATGATTTTCAAAGTCCTGAAGAATTCCAACTTTTCCCTTTAGTAAAAAGGTGCTTGTTTAGCACCAACTTAAGAGCTCTCTGCCCAACTTTTATTTGAAATTAATTAGAATTTGTGGAGGTTAAGATTCCTCTCTTTGCCTTGCTCTCCCTCCTTTAAGTCTGTTGTTAAAAACTCACCAAGTGGACATAACTTATTATTTCTGAATTTTAATGATATGTTCTAAATGTTTTCCTTCCAGAAATCTGGCTGGACTGGTTGAAGGATGAGATAAAAATGGCCTCAGAGATCTCTGAGAGAGAGAAGGTTTATGAGCTGTTTGAAAGAGCTGTCAAAGATTACATCTGTAAGTCACCCAAAAACATTCTCAAATGGGGTTTTTTGCATCCAGATTTGGCTTTGTAGGGAACTCTCTTGCTTCTGTTTGTAGTGAAGAAGTTGGGGCAAAATTTCAAATTAATTTCTGAAATTGGAATGTGAAGTGATGCAAGGGAAGGATGTGGTGTTTGGTTTCTCTATTCCTCAGGAGCTGCTGCAGGTGTATCTTAAAATTTTGGGGACAAATCCCTGAGTTCTTTGGGGATTGGGGTAAAGAGTTGGAAAAGCAAAGCCTGAGGAAGTGGAGGGAATATGGAGTTAAATCCCTCTCAAAAGCTGTGTACAAAAAGTCACATCAGTGACATTACCTGGTGTTGCAGATCTCTCAGAAAAAAAGGAGTGGAGGTGAAGAAGTGAGGAATTATCCTCTGGATCTGCTGGATTGTATTTGGGATTTGGAGGCACCTCTGGAATCCAGGGCAGTCCCAACCTGGGGGTCCCTGAATGGAATTTGGTGTTGGTGGGACTGGTGCCAGGCAGCCAGTGCTGTTCTCCCACCTCCCCTTCAGCTGCTTCAGGAGCTGCTGATCAGGGAAGTTCAGGAGTTTGGAAAGAGGAGGGAGGAGGAGCTGCTTTAATCTGAATTATTCCAGAGTGTGACAGCTCTGTGGTCCCAGCTCAGGAAATGGGAATTTGCTGTTCAGGCATCTTGGTGTGGTTTTAGGCAGAGATGACAGCCAGGGCCATTCCCTGTCAGCAAAACCACAGGAGTGACACCACTCAGAAGGAAACTGGGGCTGCTGCTGCTGAACCAACAGCACCAACACAATTCCCAAATATTTTAACTTTTTAGGATCAATAAAACATCGCTATGTGTTTTTCTGTTTATACGCAGCACATCAGCCATTTGGGGAAGCAGAGCTGCCTTTCCTCGTTATTATTTTTGAAAAAAATCAAATCACCTGCTTCTCCTCACCTTGTTTAGGTCCTGAAATTTGGCTGGAGTATGCCCAGTATTCCATAGGGGGCATTGGGCAGGAGGGAGGCATCGAGAGGGTCCGGTCCATCTTCGAGCGGGCCCTGACGGCCGTGGGGCTGCACGTCACCAAGGGCACGGCCCTGTGGGAAGCCTACAGGGAGTTTGAGAATGCCATCCTGGAAACAGCACAGGTGAGCCCCTTCCCCTTTGCTCCCATCCCAAAAACAGCTGTGCTGCAGCTCCTGGAGTCACCTGGAGCTGTCTCCTCCTTGTCAGGTCTCAGTTGTTTCTTCCCAGCTGTAAAAACCAGCCCTGTGCTCCAGGAAAACCGTTCTGTGCATTTGGCTGATAAAGTCAAGGATTTGTGTTTCTGTAAAATCCTAAAATCATCTGGAATCCAGGAGCAAAGTTTGGCTCTGCTGCTGACTGAGATGCCAAAAACAGCTTTAAATTGAAATGTTCCACTATTAAACAATGTTCTGTGGCTGTTTCTGCGCAGAGTCAACCAAGTTTAAATTCGTAGACTGTTCAGCTTTTAACTCATTCATTATTGCACAATTTGTGGGTGAGGGCATTTTATCCACAGTCTTTTGGATGAGGGCATTTTATCCACAGTCTTTTGGATGAGGGCATTTTATCCACAGTCTTTTGGATGAGGGCATTTTATCCACAGTCTTTTGGATGAGGATATTTTACCCCTGAAAAGTACAGTTTGATATCTGCAAAAGTCACCTTTCCAAGATGGCCAGAATGGGAATATTTCCTTATTTTTGATCATTTGCTATATAAGAGATGGAAGTTTAAAGTTGTCCCTGCTCATGGTAGCAGTGGGAACTATTTGGTTTTAAAAGGACCTTTTCAACCCCTAACAAAGGAGTAACAGGAGGATGTTCTTTCATTCCCAAACACAATTAAGGCTGGATTGTGGGATTTACACCCCAGGGATTTACTGAAACCCTCTTTGGCAGCATGATGGGGATGTGAAATGGCACAGTCACCTGCTGCTTCCTTGTTCTCAGGTGATCACTGTGTCAGCTTTCAGTCAGGAATGCTTTTCCCATTCATCCACCTTCCAAAGGCAGCAATTCCCAAGTTTTAACTTTCCTCACAATGACAGAGATGCAGCTTGGCCCTGTGTGCCCTTCAGGGATCACATATTCACTTGGATCTCAGTTCCCTCAGCTCATAAACAATTCCCTCATGTCCATCAGCTGGGGCTGGAGGATGGATTGAATTTCCCTGGGTTTTTTTTTTTTGCTTGCAGCCAGCTCCTGGCAGCATTCCATCCCCGGAGCAGCAGCAGGTGCTGTGCAGCCAGCTCGAGAAGATCCACACGCTCTTCCGGCGCCAGCTGGGGATCCCTCTGCTGGGTAAGGGCTGCACTGCTGGCACAGGGATGCTCCAGGAGTCAGGATTCTCCTGGCACAGCCTCACCAAGTGCAGCTGGAGGT